ACTAAATTAATATTTTTGGAATATGTATTTTTTGTATATTTATTTGTATCTATAGTTATTAGGTGTGCGGGTAATCGGGCGGGTAAAAAGTCGGGTCGGGTAAAAAAAATCCACCGGGTAAACGGGTCGGGTAGTGGTTTTTTTTGTTAAACCCGTACCCGATCCGGACCGCGGGTATAGAAATAAAACCCAAGCACGACCCGAAACCCGCCACTCCGGGTATACCCGACCCGGTGGGTTTTTCTGACAACCCTACTAGCAGACGGACACTCCAAACGCGACCGCTCGTCCCGAGGTGGCGGTGGCGGCAGCAGCAGCGGCAGAGACGGAAAGGGATCCAAGAAACCCACAGGCAACATATAGTCTTCCGCAGTCTCCTTGCTCTTCTTTGCATTACTACTCCCACCATCATCGTCGGAAGATGAAGAGTCAGAGTCGGAGCTCGACAATTCGATTAATGCAGCGGGGACGGAGTTTCTCGGGTCGGGATTGCGCCGGAACATGGGGTCGGGATCTAATAGCTCTCCCTTTCATTGGATATATTTTCCTTTTCCTTTCAGGTTTGTGCCTCTCGACTAACCAACCATATGAAATAAAAAATCCCATACATAATTTTATTCCTGACATGCTGATCATCTCAATGTCATCATAAAATAATTTGCAGCCATGGGTGAAGAATTTGAGTTACCGGAGCACATAATTCACCGCATACAATCCTTCCTCACCGGAAAAGAAGCTGCTCGGATGACTTCTCTCCAAGTCGTGGCACCACGCAGCCATCACCTCCCCAAACCTCGACTTTGACTATTGGGGTTTCAGCAAATCGCGTGGCGTCTATTATGGCAACAATTTTGATGAGTTCTCGAAGTTCGTGAAAAAGACCATTCGCAGGTACGAGAAAAGAAAAATAAAGATCCAGAGTTTCAGGCTCCGTACTCCAGATTTTATTCCATGGGGCCATGGTTTTCTTTTCCCTAAACAAGTAATCCCAAAAGCACTGAGTATGGGCGCATCTCTTCTCGATATTAGTGGGAATTTTGCTGTGCCTAATGTGGTGTTTGAAGCTGGAAATCTTGTCTGATTATCCTTAGAGTCTTGCGAAATCGACCTGAAACCAGATCAACCGGTAACATGTCCTCGGCTTGAATCCCTTAGTTTAAACAATGCCTGGTTCAGTTCCGGTTCGATTTCTAACATAATCTCCGGTCTGGTTCTTCACCGGAGCTCGGTGTTTGGATATTTTTTGGGGTTTTTTTCTTTCGGTTTCTCATTTCCTTTTCAAAATTGTGGTTAATTTGGGTTTCCTTTTCCAAATTTCCTATGGACCCAGCAGAAATTGCGGTTCTTTGCGATCGTCTCCGTCTAGATTTCGAAGAGGATCCGATTACGGTTTCGTCCGATGCTCTAACCTATTTTTTCTCCTTCTACCTCAGAAAATACTGATAACCCAAGCAACTCAAGTGAGGTCAGTCGGAGCCAGAATAAGGAGGAAGAAATACCCTCTGAGGTAGTTGTTGAGCGTGAGGCTGATAATAGTTCACAGCAGGGGAAATTGAAGGTAGTTAATCAACAGACTTCTAAAGAGTCCTTTATGCTTGTTACTGAAATCTTTCCTTCTTCAAACGGAAATAAGAGGTTAATCACGGACGGGGTCTCCTCAGCAGAAACTTTTTCAAGTGCTCCAATCTATGAAGTAGGTGGTGATCGGAAATCAATGTTGATTGGTAATCACTTGAAAATGGTGGAAAAGAAGGGTCGGTGAGGAAAAGCTAAATGTACATGGTAGAAATAAAAATGACTCTTTATCTTCTCCTCCTAAGTTATCAGAAAGGGCAAACGTTGAGATCAATCGAGGGGATCCTTCGGGTAAGAGGAAGGATATTATTTCGCAGCATATTGTTTGGCTTGGAAGGTATCATATTCAGCCATTCCATCCAGTGAAAATCTCGCTAGAAGGCATATTGTTTTGGATGGTCGGTGTTTGCGATGCGGTTGTTGGGAAACGAATATTCATCTTTTCTTCGAATGTGATTGGGCAAGTTATGGAAACACGCCGGATGGTGGAATGTTATCTCTAGTCTCCGGAGACGGGATTTTATCTCTTTAGCTTTGGCTATTCTTAATGGGGATTGTGGTGCTGATTTTAGGAATTTTATCGTTACCCTGTGGCTTATTTTGCAGGAGCGTAATCGTCTCCATAAATATCTCAAGGCCAGAAGTCCGGAACAGGTTTGGGACTTTGGGATATCTTGGTTAAAAGAATTTGATAATGCTCAATTTGGGCGAATGGGTAATGGAAATTCGTCCTGTCGGGATTTGATTCCGAGTTGGCAATGTGAAGGTACGTGTGTTGATGGTTGGACTCTTCTTAGCGATGCGGCGGTTCGTGAGTCCAAAATTGGTTTGGGTGGTTGGTTTAGTGATAAAGACGGAGTTTGTCAGGCAGCTTTCGCGACTTGCATCGAGGGCTCTTATTCTCCTTTACTAGCAGAAGCACTAGCACTCAGGCATGGTCTCCGCTTTGCTATGGACTCGGGCTTTAAGGTGAAGGCGGTGTTGACAGACTCCTTAGAAGTCGTTGGCGCCATTGCGAACTCGGAGGATTTGGATCCTTTCTTTGAGGTGTTAACGGATATTAAAAACCTTTTAACGGCTTTAGACTGCAGCTCGTGTTGCTATGTTCCTCGGAAGGATAACGTGGTGGCCCATAATATAGCTTCTTGGGCGAGTTATGTCCCCAGGAGAAGAAAACTGTGGATGCAATTGTCAAAGCAAGGTATATTTTTAATTTGTGTTAGTTAATTTCTTGAAATCTAAACCATTTTTTTTTTTTTTTGTTGTTTCAATTGTTTCTTTATATAGTGAATACCCACTGTCGATAATATTAGTCGGAGTTGGGGATGGGCCTTGGGATATGATGAGGAAATTTGACAATAACATTCCTGCTCGAGCCTTTGACAATTTCCAGGCAAGTTAATTAAAAACACTATTCCTGAGCATTTTATATAGAAGTTTTGAAAATCTAGAAGCCATCAGGAAATCCGGAGTACAAGTAATGCTCATTGCTCATCTACCTTGATTTCCATTATAATTTTCAAGACCTGCTCGATTCATTTTTCTTTTTTAACCTATTTTGTTAAACTGACATTCGAAAACTTCTATTTAGTGTCCCCTCTTGTGTAAGGAGTTTGTGGTAGATGCATGGCAAATCTTCTATGCTCGTATAAAAGGCGCAGATGCTATTCTATTAATTGCGGCCGTTTTACCTGACTTGGACATCAAGTATATGGTTAAGATTTACAAATTGCTCGGTTTAACAGCCCTTGTTGAGGTACTGCTTCTTCTACTCCTTGATGTGTGTTGAGATACTTTTCCATGCAAGAACATATGAAAATTTCGATTTCTATATGTCTTTTGATCGTGAACTGACGGTCTGCAGCTTTAATTTTTTATTTTTGTTTTAATCATTTGTCTTTGCTTCTTCTAGGTACATGATGAAGATGGATCGTGTGCTCGATATTGACGGGATTGAACTTGTTGGCATTAATAACCGTGACCTCGGTATTATTTCCAGAAATTGTGCAATTTGGGCCATTATAATATTATTAGCTGTAATACGTCCGGTTATTTATGGATTTTACTGATTGAATTGAGGAGTAATGGAAATTAAATAAAATGAAAGAACTTGATTCGCAGACATGAAAAATTAACTCTTGGAATTTGCATCATGAATTAAAACATAAAGTTAGGAACTTGATTTGATTAACAGTTATTTCATGATATTTTTACGAACATTTGAGGTTGATATCACAAACACGAAAAAGCTCCTTGAAGGTGAGCGGGGACAAAGGATAATCGAGAAAGGCATTACTGTGATTGTTCTTAAAAGTATCTTTGTTGAGTATATGTTTTTTGTTCTTTTCTTCTATATTTAAATCCTCATTTGTAAAACACTTTCAGGTTGTTGGAGAGTCGGGACTTTTCACGCCTGCTGATATTGCATATGTTCACGAAGCTGGCGTCAAAGCTGTAAGTTTTCAAGGCTGTTAAATAAATAATTTGCTCTGTTTTTTTTTTGCCTTTTATCTTGCGACGGGGCGATATTAAAACTTTTAAAGGCCTTTCGTCCAATTTATGCAAGAAAAATGTTACTATCAAGATGATGTGAGATATCTGCTATTTACGTGACAAAAAACCTTTCACATCCTAAACAAGAAAACCAAATGTTGAATTTTTTTTTTTTTTTTTTAAAAAAAAAGCAAAATGAATAAATTCACCACGACTATGAATCTGGGCTTCATCTACAACTAATGGTTTGAATCTCCCAACTTGTCATTCAAAAGCAGCTTTTGTTTCTCCTGCTTTTGCCTTCAAGATGCTTTTCAACTGGTATTCGATTATCTCTCATTTTCATAGTTCATTTATACGTTCTTTTATCGATATGAAACTTCTTGAAATTTCGTTTTTCACTCAGTTTTAGAAGGTTTTGAATATGCTTCGTCACATGAATGGGTGAAGCATATGGCCCTTTGGCCACCATTGGAATCACAAATCATGCCAGGTTCACTCTCTGAATCTCTCTCTAGTTATCATGTCAGGTTCACTCTCTGAATATCTCTCTAGTTATCTATGTGTGTTTATACTTTATATGTATGGTAATAAATCTTGATTGTCTGTTGGTTTAGAAATTTAGATTGATGTGATTATGTATATCGTGTGTTTTAGGACCACCTAGGAAAAGTGGTGTTCTTGGAGTTGCAGTAGGAAGGGAAAGCAGTGTCTCAAGGAGGAAGTTTTAGGGCTGTTGAGAGCGTTAAGGCCACGAGTGATGTCAACTTGCTAATTTTTGGCAAGGTCATGGAGGTCAACACTGCGACGCGCGGCAAATTTAAATTTATAAAAGTTTCCTTAACAAACCTCTACTAACTAGTAGTAGCGGCGAGTAAGGGTCGATCCCACGAGGAGCAGGAATTAAGTCGTGACAATTCGTATTAATCGAACTATATCTAAGAAAGCAATAAAAAGGGGGAATTGGATTGATAAAAATAAAAATAAAATAAAAATAAAATTAAATAAAATAAGAGAAGTCCAGTTTTCGATTCAGTTATCACCCAATCTAAATTTACCGTTAATCAATTTCGACGCTTTCTTTAAGTTGCTAATGAATTACCGACCCTAGCTAACAACAAGCTCTGTTAACCGAATTTTCCCTTACATAATATTTAGTCGAAATAAGCTCTTCGACCAAGCCTAACTAGCGGACAACCTAGAATAAGCTCTCTAGATTTAATACACTAGCAGCATTAATTATTAGGAAAATAGATCAATCTAAGCAATGGTCGCGTAAGCTCGGACCATTTAACTTATGTTCACGCTACCCTAAGGATGCACGACCCCTCGTTTACTACTAACGAAACAAGACAATAACAATTACGGATTAAAGTCCTAAATCTAGCAATTAAACTATGAACATTCAACGTAGCTGGCCAGACTAAATCAAACATCATAATTCATAAACATTAAACATAGATAACGTGAATCAACTCATCAACAAAATAAATATGGCGTCTCAATTAACCAACGATAAAAATAAATCCTTCAATTCATAGACAAATTAAAATTAGGGTTCAAACATCCCCTAAAACTAGATAAAAATCTAGCCTAGCATACTAAGAAAAATAAATAAAAGAGATAAAAGAGAGATTAGTTATCTCCCTCGTGTGCGATTGCGGCTTCCCTCCGCATGTGTAGCCTTCTCTCCTTCGTGGCGTGCGTGTTGTCTGTCCGCTGTTTTTGCTCTTTTCTCCTCCGTAGCTACGTCTTTTCTTTTTTCTTTCTTAAATAATGCCTCGCAACTCTAGTAAAATAAATCCAAGTGTCCCTAATTGATCAAAGTCCTCCCAATAATTCCATGTTGCGGATTGTGCTCTGTTGCTTGCAAAGGTATTTTGTTCCCCCAACAAATAAAACAAATAAATCTCAAAATGCTCCAATCCATTAATTTCGTGAGCATATTTCTCTTGGGCTCAAATAATTGAATTTTATTTAGGGCCCAAATCCTTCGTCTTGGCCTGATTTCACAATATTAGGGTCCTATCCATTGACATCTTTGAATATTCTTCAATTTACTGAAAATAAATAATAAAATATCAAAGTACACGAATTCATTCAAGTGGTAAATAAATCGAAAAATACAAACGTGCGAATAAATTAATTGTATAAGAATACACAATTAACTATATAAAATAAGCACATTTCCGACCTATCAAACACCAAACTGTCTGATTTTAGATTTCAATATTAACTTCTGAAAATTATAAAAAATTCATGAGGCCTCCAATTGCATAATCTGATTCGTCATTTTCCATTCATATGTCCAAGTAGAAAAAAAAAGAACTAAGAAAATGAAATGATATCCGATCTTTTGTTCGTGTTTTCGCAATCAATTAATGAAGATCAATTCAAACCTATATGAAGATGGGATGGATGATCAAAGCAAAACCAAGTAATCCTACGAAAACACTGAAGTTCCTAAACAAATTGGTGTCGGGGGACTTCCTGGTCATAGTGCCACAAAAGAAAGTAATGAAGGATAAGAAGAGCAAAAGTACAGTTATACTGATAAGCAATCAATCAAACCAGATCAAGAAAAAAATAGTCGAGCATAACTCCCATTAGGGTATGTTGCAGGCCACAAAATTCCCTCTAAAAGAATAGCCACAAAATTTCCTTCCCTTAGCGTATGTTGCATAGCGTATGTTGCAGGCGACATTCCCATCCTTTTTACCTATATGAAACTATTGATGAGCAGCGATTTGCCTAGTTCATCCTGGAATTTCAACAGCGGTTCTTCATGTAGAGCTAAGATCGATAGTTCTACCATGTTATCCGTTGCGCAAGTTTGGGTGCAATTGCTGATCTGCACATAGTAGTAAAAAATGTGGCAAAAATATTTCATTTTCTATGCAAAATTTCATAAATTCAATTATTTGTAAACTGTAATAGATTACCTTAGGTCTTAAGTGAGTGGCCAAATTTCTTATCCATCGAAAATGAGTAGTTAACGGCAGATAGGGAACTACTGTACACATTCGTCCCTTCAAGGTTTCCATAGTTGAAGACTTCTGTAAAGATGTCATATTTCCTTTTACTTACTTCTCTAGAAGAGTCTTCTCTTAATTTCCTGGCCCATCCCTTGCAACCAACCATTGTCGCCATACATTGTTATGATATAGGCTTTTCTGTGAGTCATCTAGGAAGCAAGTTTATCTCGACCATCTCTTAGGAACGAAAGTCTATCGGAAGACTCTACAATTGTCAGATTCTTAACTAAAGTTCTCTTCGGGATACGACTACAAAAGTACAAAAAAAGAGAGTTAAATCTGGAAAAAATCGAACTATCAAATATACCTAAAATATAAAAGGTTACCTCCTCGGTTGTACGATCTTATTTATAAAGTGCATAAGCACTGATGGACACGACCCATCACATATATTCTCTTGTATAAGTTTAGCTAGATTCTGAAAATCATTTGCCCTCGCAATCTCTGACTCGGGAACAAAGCTCAGATTCCCCATCTTCACTACTCCCTTGTGCATGACAAAATTCTTCATGTGGAGTGAGGAAACGCATCTTTTATCCCTTTCATTCAATTCAACAAGCCCCGCCAACATGTCTCTTATGAACCGCTTATACTCTGGTGGAGTATAGGAATATTTGATGTTAGTTGATGGAACTTTAAAGGTCATTGTAGGGTTTTCTTTCGCCATTTTCAGCTGCTGAATACGCGTGTCCAGAAAGCAGTCGAACTCTCCATACACGATAGTGTTTCGACCAACATCAAAAAATTTACCGCATAAGAAATATCGGTTGTTGTGTGTTAGGGCATAAAGTTGCTCATCCTTAGGGCGAAGGGACCGGAGATGATTCTAGTATGAGATGCAACTAGTTCCCCTTTTTCATAACCATAATCATCAACGGTTTCATCACAGCAAATCATCACTTCAGCAGTTAGCATTTTCTTTATCTGCATAATGATTACTCATTTACATTACTCATACTAGAAAACATTCAACATAAAATGATCAAATGTTTTAACAAGTGTTCGACAAACTTGACAATGTTGTATAATAAACACTAAACACACAGAAGAGTAAAGTCATATTACTTATCTTTGTTAATTAATTATACATTAGATTCAATGCAAGGAGAATAAAAGAAAAAAGAAAAGAAAAGAAAAATCCCTATGTTCAAGAATACATATAAGAAAAGAAAAGAGAAACAAAGACAATAGTCACAGAAGGTGAGGAAATGACCTGAGGCGAGGCAGTCTCCCTCGGGATTTTTTCCTTAGCAAGTTGGAGTTTTCTTTCCTTTTGTTTGAGTTTTTGTTCCTTTTCAAGTTTTTTGTGTTTTTCTTTTTGTTGTTCTCCTACTCCTTCTTTTATGGTGTCTAGGAGACTGTTCCTCAATAGATTGAGCTCTTCTATCATGAAGGGGATGTGCGGTTCCAAGAAGATTTTTGTCTCCTGATCTTTGTTGAGCCCTTGTCTTTCTTCTCTTTTGAATCCACCAATTCGCTAATTGCTTGTAACTTCTTATTCAACGCCTTAATGCGATTACTGATTTCCTTGTCTACTATTTCGCGAATTTTGCTGGCGGTCTTGGCGGAAGAAGACTGTGTCGGCACATTGTTGTGGCTACAAAAGAATAGACGTGTCAAAACGGGCCGGTGGCACATCGAAACAAATTTTACACTAAACACAAGAATACAAACCACAACGCTTTGTTCAATTTTTACAAAGTGTTGTGATGTGCCGCCGTCCCGTTTTGACACTTCTATTCTTTTGTAGCCGCAACAATGCGCCGACACAGTCTTCTTCCACCAAGACCGCCAGCGAAATTCGCGAAATAGTAGACAAGAAAATCAGTAATCTCATTAATGCGATTGAATAAGAAGTTACAAGCAATTAGCGAATTGGTGGATTCAAAAGAGAAGAAATACAAGGGGCTCGACGAGGATCAGGAGAAAAAAATCCTCTTCGAACCGCACATCCCCTTCACGATAGAATAGCTCAATCTATTGAGGAACAGTCTCCTAGACGCCATAAAAGAAGGAGAAGGAGAACAACAAAAAGAAAAACACAAAAAAACTTGAAAAGGAACAAAAACTCAAACAAGAGGAAAGAAAACTCCAACTGGTTGAGGAAAAAATCCCGAGGGAGACTGCCTCGCCTCAGGTCATTTCCTCACCTTTTGTGGACTATTGTCTTTGTTTTTCTTTTCTTATATGTATCCATGAACATAGGGATTTTTCTTTTCTTTTTTTTTTTTATAATCGCCTTGCATTGAATCTGATGTATAATTAATTAACAAAGATAAATAATATGACTTTACTCTTCTGTGTGTTTAGTGTATATTATAAAAGTTTGTCGAACACTTGTTAAAACATTTGATCATTTTATGTTGAATGTTTTCTAGTATGAGTAATGTAAAGGAGTAATCATTATGCAGATAAGGAAAATGCTAACTGCTGAAGTGATGATCTGTTGTGATGAAATCGTCGATGATTATGGTTATGAAAAAGGGGAACTAGTTGCATCTCATACTAGAATCATCCTCGGTCCTTGGAAAAGGGTCGCCCTAAGGATGAGCAACTTTATGCCCTAACACACAACAACCGATATTTCTTATGCGGTAAATTTTTTTATGTTGGTCGAAACACTATCGTGTATGGAGAGTTCGACTGCTTTCTGAACACGCG